AAAATTATATTACCGTCTATTATTGTTATCCTGAATATAACGAATCCAGTCCAAACCTCATACTATGTTTCACTGAGATTCATTTTAATATTATTATCTCATTCTAAGAGGCAGCTTTTGGTAATTTTTTTTGACTAAAGTTTTTTGTGTATTTTTATCTCGGACAGACATGTCATATGCCCCGCCCATTCGGTCTGCCATCATTTGTTTAATGTAAGAATATTTAATAAGGAGTATAAATTATGCATCTCTTTTCAATACGATTTTCTGTCGCATCATTTTTTTTTTTAATTTTTCGTCATGTATGCCATTCCAAATGCGTTTTTCCAAGTCCGAAGACAGAGGCCACATGTAACATCCTAATAGCTAGTTAACCCCGTGCCGAATTCCGTAACTGGAGGACCAAATTTTGTCCCATAGATAATGTTAGGAGTGTCAGCTTGTGGGATGAATAACGGAATACGTGTAACAAAGCGGTATGACCTCATGGAGAATGAATATTTCCGAAATGAATACATTCTTTTGTTTCGAATAAGGGAGAGAGAGTATGTCTCTATGAAACTGCGTTTGTTAACAAGCATATTTTTCAACCCTCAAATGATACATCTGTGCTTATGGAGCAGCAGTAGAATGATACTGACAGCGAAAGCCGAAGGCCTCGGTGAAAAACCTGTCCTAAGGCCACTTTGTCTACTATAAATCCCACAAGGACTGCCGTGGACGCAAAACGAAGTCTCAGCTTTAAGATTGAAATCCTTCTGGACTATGTCTTCTTCTAACCCGTGAGAAAAAGAATATCGTCCAGTTATATTAATCTAAGGAATATTTAATATGAGTTGTATTAGTATAGAATATAAAGGCAGAAGACTTGGAAGACAGAGCTAATAATATATTTCGGAGTAATACAATTTTTAAGTCCTATAGTCTGTGAACTTAGTAATAGAAATGGAAAATTAAAATTAAATTAATGTTTGCTTTGTGATAGAGGTAGCTTTACTTTCATGGCTTTGACTGAACTAAACTCGAAGCATATCATAATTTCTTTTTGAATCAGTGAACTTCGTTACCTTCTCATTACGATTTGAGAATGGAAGACTTATTTCAGAGATTATTATGTTCATAATGTCACGTTAGGCTAAGTTTGGTCAGATTATGGCGGGTTATGTGACCTTTAGCATCGGTTTTCCCTGTCGTTTTCGTTGGCATCCTGACTTTCATCTGTGCCAAATGTGTTGTGTCTGCGTCGCGACGCTGGCCGTCGATATTCAGTGATATTTTGAGGCTTACCTGCGTAAAATATGGCATAATTTTACGGCGTCCTGACGGCCAATATCGGTCTATTAGCATCGGTTGTTTGCTGTTCCGAGGCTTGTATTGACTTCATTTGCGTTTTTGAGTCATGTCTCTGCGATGTATGACGCGATGCCAGGCTTCTGTTATCCAACTGCATAGAAAATGACATTTTGAGAATCTAAGTTTGACTTGTTTTTGAGGCGTCGCAAAAATTGGCCTCGCTACGCTTGGCGTCTGTTTACCAGCGTCGTGCCTTATGGCATTACGATGTTGTCCTTGACCTGATTTGGATTTCTGAACCTTCCCAAGCTCATTGTTATTTTCCGATTTCCTAAATTTCCTCATTCCCTGCTAAATTCTACAGGTTCTTCAATGTTTAATTCATTGATTATTTAGTTTAAACTGGTGTTAAAGTATCACCACTGTTTATATTTGAATATTATCACATTAAACGACAAGCTGTTTTATCCCTTATTCTTACCTCGGTAACTTTAAGTGTATGTTGATATTGTTGTTTGTTAAGGATCTGTAGGTTTTATATATTGTTAAAGTTACAACACTAAGAAGACTTAATTAAAAGTGTCGTACTGTGTCTAGACCATATTTTGAGCGAATCGATTCCATTAAACATCATCGCATCATATATGTGTTTTAATGTTATCTTCACATACGTCTAAGACTTCCATGTAATATCTTTCTTGGTCTTCCAGTTGGGTAATAATACTTGTAGCATCTAGGCCGTTGTCACTTGGTAATCATCTGATATTTTGAAAGCAGGATCGTTCACACCCCAAGGTAATTAATATTTCAGAGTTTAGAGTAAAAATTGTCAGTTTTGCGTGAGCTGATTGGTTCCATCACACAGACCAGATTATTTTAAAATAATTTTAAATTAATTAAACTGAAATAATTCTACAGAGAAAAACACACAAAAATTCCATCAATCGTTTTTCTGCTGTTTTCAAAGAGTAATTAGAATTAAATAAAATTATGGGCTTTAATTCAAGTTAGTTAGCGTTAACGAATTGCTACTGATTTCACTTATTGGATACCGCGCGTTGCTTCAAGGTTCGGTTGATTTTAATGGTCTCTTCGGATGATTAAGTTCGAACAGATCTGCTGATACCTCATCAGTTGGGGATTTTAAAACACTGCGTCCTGCCATCAAGATAAAAACAAAAAAAATCTCATCGGAAAAGTTCATCTAACCGCGTGGCTGTCCCAGTCGCAGCCTCATTGCATATGAATCAGTCTTTATCGATTGGTGTATGATTTTTAAACATGGAATAGGATTTTCAGGGGGGGGGGTGTATTTCCTTTTATATAATTACAAATTACATAAACTGTTTAATAAATGATACGGTCAGTTCTTAAGCCACGAGTAATATAATCTAAAAGTGATTTAACATTTTTTGCGTTTACAAAAATATGAATGCTTCATCGAAATGGATATTAATTTCCTGTAACTTTAATCTATTATACAGTATCTGTGGTATTACATCTGTGTCAGATGTAATATAGATTCTGTTCGAACTCGGTATTTGCCAATCATTTGCCAAATCTCATTAAGATTTATAAGCTGTTACAATTATCTTTGTTAGTTTAAGGTACCACATTATTACTCAGTCAAACTGAAATTCAATGTGATAATATCACCATTTTCCTCTGTGCTTATACACAATCTGTATCCAATTATAAGTGTTATATTTGTCAGTGTTGATATGTTGGTTTCAATTATTTTTTGTTTATTTAGATTAATTTAAATACAAGCTTCTTAATGGATGTTGTGACCCTAAGCTTAATATTCTTCGCTTAGATTATATTAATTTGTAATTTATTATTATTTATGGTTAGATCATACCGAACTGATAGTTGCCCTTAGTCTAGCTAAAATATGAAGCTGTGAGTGTCAAACACACGTGGCTTGGTAACAAGAATTGATAGTGATTCATTTAAGACATTTTCCTTGGTTTTGTACAAGGAGTGAAGTATGAGAATTCTAGGAAGGAATTCTTAATGGGTATTTGATAGTAAATATTTGACTTGTTCCTAAGTTCTTTTTGGACAATGCACAACTTGAAAGAGTTCGCTTCAGTTAAACACCAGAGTTCAAGTAATCAAACAATTCTAGTTCTGTATCAATCATACTTTAAAGTTGTCTATGTTAGTTCTGAGCTCCACTGTATAATCCTAACCTCACTTTCGTGGTTTGTTGTCGGTTTCGTCACCTATTTCTTACCCTCTGTTTCTGTTTTATCGTTTATTTCTCACCGTTTAACAGCACGATTCTAGGATCATAAAATACATACCCTAATCACAAAAATTGACTATAAGTCTTATACTGTTAATCTCTATGATTTGAACACGTCAAAGCATAAACGACTTCTTAAATAACCTAAAGTTTCTGACGCACAGGAAATACAAAGAGAAAAAAGCAAAGAGAGAAGAAATTTAGACGTCCCTTAATCGAAAGCTGGTACGTTTGTGATAAACGGGCTGTGAGCTGACCTCCTTTGGCTATCGTCATTTTTTAACCCGGAAAGAATGTTTAATAGACTAACAGGCATGTGCGTATGCACAAATAACCCCAAGGAACAGAGTCTAACTTTAGAAGCTGATATTCGATGAGAAAATCAATAATTCTCCTTCTTTTATGAAACTCGGATTTTTATTACCGTGTTCAAAAGAGCCCAACAATGGGCCCTATCCTTAGCCAGATTAAATCAATCCATATCTATATGCTATGTTTTTTAATATAAATTTTAATATTAGTCTCCAATTAAAGTCACCATAGTGGTTTCTTCATATCATGTTACACAATAAAAAATTAGCATGCATTTTTAATTCCTCTCACGCGTGCTACATGCCCCACCTGCTTCGACCTGAATTTCATATTATGTAGATTTTCTTGTATATAACAAGAAGCAGGGCCTGTGTATAAGATTTCGTCGATTACGTTCGTAAGATCGAACGTAAATATCTTTCTCGAAAAGCATGTTCTTATATTCCGTTTGGAACTGAACAGATTTATCCATTTCAATGATATGAACCAGACAGGACGTTATTAGCGCATTAAGGCCCAGTGGTAACTGGTAACTTTGAATACCACCTGCTTTAACAACATTACACTTTGAGGTTATCAACAGTTTCTGTACGTGCTTGTGTCACCTTTCTGCATTTTCTTCACTGTTCTTTGACAGATATGGGCAGTAAAATTTACCAGCGTTTCTACAGTTTAATATTCAAACGCTTAAGTTTCTGTTGCGATGATATTGTTTATTACTTGATTTGTCTCAAAGTCTTTGATTTTGTGTACAAAATATTTGTGGTGTAATAAAGTCTAATATTCAATTTACGGCTGCAGATTTAGATAATTTTATTTGTGTTTACATTTGTTTATGATAGGCCAACACAGGAATAATATTCATACTCGCACATTAAACTGAATAAATTATTAGAAAAATTTCGATACAAAAGTCCATAACAAAATTGTCCTTGTCTATTACGATGTTGTGTATCTGTGTTCCATCTCAAGTTTTATGTCCCCTGGTATATTTTCCGAAAATAATTTTTGGGTTACGTACAAGACCTGATAAGATATCATGTCGAAATTTCCAGCTCATGCAGCCCATCGACAGCCTATAATAATTCGCCGAGAGCGAATCATGTTAACTGATTTCTACATTCTGTCGCCTTTCACCCAACAGGTCGCCATTACCTCGACGATTATAGCGGAACAGCTGGCAACGCGGATAACTGGGGGTCAAAGTTGAAAGACGCAGCCTCGTCTCGGAAGCCGAATGCCAATGTCATCTTCCCTGCTGGCCCAATGAAAATGTCTCCGGCGCAGAATATTTTTCTGTCTGAGAACTGCACCACGGTGTTGGCGCAAATTGGCAGCACACCCATACTCCATTGCGAGGTGGCGGACATCGGCGAAGGAACGGTCAGTACGCATTCCTGAGCAGGATTTGAGGTTCTCACGGCGATGAGAACAAAGATGGCTGTCTTATTGGTTGTTACTCTGTGTAGTCTGGTAGAAATTTACCGCCGTTACAGAGGTCCTTGCTTCCTGGCAAACTTCTACCTTATTACATGGCGCTACTAACCAAAATGCATCCATCTTATTATACATTCCTACTTTAGTTTTTACTAAGACAAGAGAGAACAGGTAAAATATTCTGTTTACTTCTTGTTCATTGCATATAAATATTGTGGAATTACGACATGACAGAACATAACTAACTATATGGTGCTTAGTTTCCTTTGGCTAGCAGGTAATTATCGTACAGATTTTCAAATTTAATGAACTTTCAAGTTTCACAAAAGCCAAAAAAATTCAATTCAGTACACTCCCTAAGGGTAAGCTTCTTTGTTAAATTTAATTTCAACCCTTTTGAAACCTAATATCATCTAAATACTATTCTAGAATTTATTAGTTTGTACCGCAAAAAAAATTCCACACTTGGCCATTACAAAATCAAGTTTCAACGCTCCATTTCTTATTTACTATGAGTATCATACGAAACCCATCAATACAAAAGGCCGAGTTAGTTATTGTTGAATTATATAATATATATTCTTACTGCTGGCCACTAAAGCAATAAAATACCATTTATTATACTAATATAATAACAATGGTAATATATTTACTCTGAAAATATCCCCCAGTCTCTTACAGTTTCAACAATAAAACATGAGATAATGTTTATTAAAAGCCCCGTCCATTCGGGAAACCTTTCTCCCAATGTTCAGGATAATATTAAAGTAAATAATAATGAAATAGAGTACTCGGATCTGGATTGGATTCATCTTGCTAAAGATGGAATCCATCAGCGTATTGTTTCGTGTACCATTGGTTATCAGTTTCTAAAAATCCCCTGCGTGAAGTTGATTGGTAAAAAACATATTGAAAATCTAATTCTTATTTCTAATCCTGTATTAATAATATTGTTTGTACGTGCTGTGGATAGTCCTTTAGTTGTAATGTGATAACATTATAATAAACAGGATTTATTTTAGTTGGCAAATTTGCTAATCTAAATATTATTTTCGGGTGGCGATATATATTACACAATGTTGTTTTATTAATATTATTTTCGAAAACATTTAAATAATGATGAAAAAGACTTCGTTTGCTATTACATACCGTTAAATGTTCTTCGAATACACACACACTGATTCGTTTCTGAGAATAACAGCTGTAATATATCTTGATTGTACTTGTAATCCCAAGACTCCATTGTTGGATTTCGTGTGAAGATGGTATTGATTTCAGAGTATTGTTAATAAATCCTGTATGAATGGTCTGCCGTCATTAACACGACCTTCTAAATTACCTTGCTGTCACCCTCAATGCAACGGGAGACAGGTCTAAAACAGCTGTAGTTAATTACAGAAATTACCCTGCAATAATAGCGCTGTACGCGCATCATTACCAACGCAGGAACCTTAAAATCGCAATTTGTACTTCACCACAGTAAATCGCTTAGTTAATTTAAACCGCTGCATTTGTAACCACTGAAATAATTGTTATTTATTCTGTCACAAAGTGCAAAGAATTTGTAAACATGCCTTTCTGAATTACCATTATAACGGGTCATTTATTATTTAAATAATATACAGCATTTCGCATAATAAATGACAAGATAAATTTGTCTTCATGTCTTCGCTCCAAAATGCAACGACATGTCTCACCCGTCAAGTCCGTATTGTTATCACTTTTATTCTTGTACGACCCTATTCCGTTTTCAGGGAAGAACCTCTTGAAACGAAGTTAACTTCGTCTGTAGTGAGTGAACGCTGTATCGTAATTTCAGTAAAGTGGATCATATCAATAGAACCATTACATCTGTAATGGCAGAAATGTAGCTGTATTTTGCCTCAACCAAGAACGATCCTCACGTAACAAGTGTAAATGTGTTTCCCCAGCCACTGCGTTGCGTTATTGCTAACTGATAACGTATGTTTTCGTCAAGTAAGATTAAAATTAATTTATGGCAGGGATTAATAAATATTTATCTACTTTAATACTATCAATCTTTTGTCAACGCCGATAAGGTATGCGTTGTTTATCAGTTTAATGTCTTGTAGAATTAGTAGGCTCATTTTATGACAAGCTAAACCCAATCACCTTTAGTTATTGCACTATTAAATTGTTATTCTCAAATCAGTCTGGCTTAAATTCGAGTTTTCTAAACATTTTACTTTGATAAAATTCATAAGAAATTTAACCCTTAAATTATACAGACATCGAGCGTTCTGCAACCTCACGATTCCTATGATGTCCACACTTTTGGACAATCTAATTAAATATTTTTTGAATGAAATGTAATTCCTAACATTGCAAGTTTTTACCTTGAGAATTAAGCCTATGAAAATGAAAATAAATCAACTTTAATTTTCTCTTTCCGTTTCACGGATTGAAATTAAAATACGAAGATCTGTATCAAGCAAGTGCCATTGGTGGCAACCCACAATCACGCTGTTCGTTTCCAGAACTACAGCACAGAAATGCTGAAGTTTAGTGACCCAGGGCTCACATTGACTGTTGTTACAGTAAGATTCTTATAGCAACTTGGGTTAATGCCAAACAAATAAAACAGCTTGTTTTGGGGACCGTATCATCTGCAAATAACATCTTCCTTCGTCCCAATACATTCCATTTCTAGACTTGCACTTTGCGCCTTGCATGACGTTGAACGCAACCTGTGATAACTTCACTCATCAGAATGATTGAAGAAATCCACATAAAAGCTTCGAGCTTATAACAAGAGGGTTCGTTCAATACAGTAGAATTTCTGCATCGACCGTGTCCTGTGTGTTGTTTAATATTCCGGGTTATTTGTTTTATCGTGTGTGACACATGAACACACGCAGCCTATCACGAAGGGGTAACTGGTGCAACTGACACTGGTAAATCAAACTGATTAAAAGGCATAATATGTGGCGAGGCAATTGTAATTCTTGGAATCTCTCAATTTTCTGTTTTAATTTGAATGGAAAATAACAGAGCTTCAGTTACATATATATGAATATTTGAACCATATCGTTGCTAATAACTCACATAAACATGATGGACGTGGATTGAAGTAGTGGAATAGGCTACTGAGCATAATATTTGTACCTAAGAGGCAAGAAGTAATGGGAGACTAATATAAATGCAAGTATAAAAGCTCGGAATTGAGGGTTATTAATAAATGCAAACAGATAGCAGTAGAATTATATTACGAGCCAATTGAATTTATACACAACTCTAAAAAGTTACATGTTTTCGTTTTATTTTAATATCGTCCATATATGGATATGTCTATTTAGTGGTCCCTTTTTTTAGGTTTTTAAAATAAAATGTTTTATGCATTTTCATATGCCCTATGCATGCTATTTTCCCAGCCCATTTTACCATTCTTGGTTTGAGGAGTTCTAATAATATTTTGTGATGAGTGTACATTATGAAATTCCTCATTGCGTATTCTTTACATCATCGTGATGATTTTTCATTCTCTGTTGTATTTTGTTAACTAACAGAGGTAGCTTCAGTCTGTGTTCCTGCCTGAGGATGAGACCCACTTCGTGTCCACATAAAAAAAGTTTTAAAATTTTAACTACTCGTCTGTTAATCTTAAGATTTTTACAGGGGTTCGGAGGGCAAAGTTTCTGAATTGAGAGTAAGCCAATCGATCAAAAGTTGAGTGTTTTATATACACAAGACACGCACTCACACACTTGTAGTAATGACTAGAAGTTGGCGTGGAGTAGCATCAGCGCCATCTTTGCAGATTAAGTATGGTTCTTCAGTGGTACTTAACTTTCAGTAAAGTTACCCCAATATTCAGACTCACATTGGTGTATGCTGAAAGTTCTTCACCTTAAATTATTATACAAATATCTTTGAAGGTAATGTACCCCTAACACTGACTTTTTAATCCTTACAGCACTAGAAGAATTGACATTAATAATATATTATCGGGCTATAGACCGTGTCAATTGGATAAATTTACCGACGTTTCGAGGGCTAGTTTTAATGAGAGCCCTGGTTATTGAAATAAAGATGGTCCCTGAAACGTCGGTCACACAAACTGACACGGTTTATAGGCCGAGAATGTTTTATTAATGTTAGTCGCCCTGAAAGCTTCATATCATATAAAATAAATTAATTTGTTGTTTCGGTTGTCAGTGGATTTTTCAACAAAAATATGGGTATAAAATGGCGATGTGTTAAAACGCATTAGTTCAGATAAATACTGGAACGTGTGTCTAGAACTACATAAAACTAACGCACAAAATTAATTTGTTAAAGTGTTATAATGAAGTTCATGTCTCTATAAAGGATACAATTGTGTCTTGAGCTGAATACATGAAGGTATTACGCACTAATGTTGGCCATACCAGACTGTAACCTTGATACAGACAGTTCAAACTACAAGTGAAGTTTGTTAGAATTTATGCAGAGTAGGTCGTCCATTGCTGTGTTACTCCCTGTCAGCCACTCCATTATGGATCAATATTGGCTGCCCGCTGGATGGACAAAACTTCGTATATACTTTGAGCGAATTTATCTGACGGCTCAGATGATGTGATGGTAACAGAGCGGTGTGTGCCAGACCGTTTGATGCAATGATGTACTTTATCCGGCTTCACACAAAATAAATACAGTAACAAACATTTCTGAAAACCAGTTTCTGGCTTCAACAGCAATGTTAAGCATAGTATCCAGATGATTAAATTTTTTTGTAAAAAGGACTATGAATTATATCCATAGTATTTAAAATTTTGTCTTTGTTTTATAGGAATGTTAATGCCTGTACCGGTCTCAAATCTCCCTTCCTAGCTTACATTCGTCTTTTTATTTACACCGTTTCTATGCATGTATGAAGCAATTAATATCAGATTAAATTCGGCAGATGCTTACTACCTTTGAGTTCAGAATATTTGATCTAACTATCTCTTTCTACAAACCTATACAAAGCTACGACTTTGCCTGCTATTTTGTTTAGAAGTAAATTTTAATCTATTTTTTAGTGTAAGAGAATAAAATGAGAAACTTAGGGAACGGAGTATTTATTATAAAATATCGACCTAACAGAGGTTTAGTAGTTGGATATTACAGGAAAAGTCCCAACGAGAATGTTAATAGATTTTTCTCTTTGTCTGAATAATATTAGATAGTTCAAAGAAGGGGAATTTGTCGGATGAGTCATGTAGCACGCATGACGACAATGACGAATGCATATAAAATGTTTAGTCGTACAAGCTGAAGACTTATAAAATGAGATTCTGGGTTTAAATAATCCAAGATGGGGTCCAATGACGTGTTCTCGTGAACAATGTGATTTGGGTTTGGTTCTTAAAACACCGGGAACATCACGAACAGAGCATCGAATATTATACTGCGTTCCAGCGATTTTGGCCTCTGTACTTTGTGAATTGGAACCTCGGAGGGAGTCACTTACCAGGAGTTTGCTGGAAGGGATGGCAGCAGGCCACGTACAGTACACTCCAAATAAAATATCACACTATACATCACTTGAAAATTAACATCGCAGAGAGTCTTCTTCACAAGTCTTCGGTCCTCTTCCAATTCTTCCGCTCCTCACAGACCATCGCTTTCTGACATCACTCGATTTATCACTACCGCTGCTCGTGTCCACTCCTTTATCTTAAATTATAATACGTTCAATAGCGTCTTCGATTATGCCTGATCAATCGCATAATATTTGTGCTTTGACTTATTTAATTTGATTAAATCGTACAGTTGAACTTTCAACATATCAGAAAATGGGATGTTTCTTTCCAATAGCCAGGCTTTCATTTCGTCATTCTTTGATTAAGGCGTCGGTGGTTTGTCTGTCTGAGTGTTTTGATACGAGGCGTTATCAATGACCAGGAAGGAGATTACAACGAACAGGTGGCATGTTGTTAACACAGCACAGTCGCAAGACAACAATTATCAGGCTTCCACACTTCTGCACTGACACAGACTGTACTGACAGACGGAAACTCCTTCCTTCCTTCATTGAGTGGTCCGCATACTGGTCTCTCCCTACAAGGTCAGCGGCCATAATCGGTGGATCCATTTCTAGTTCTAATGAAGACTTCAGCTGCACGGATTCAGTTATTGTAGGAATTTAGATCTTATATTTATTAATCAGTTTTTATATTCAAGTTTTTTTTATAATACTTAAGTACCCCTACTGAGTGAAATTGTAAACTAATGCCTTGTGTACTGTTGGATATTAGCTCCAAAATAATTTAATGTTTTTAAACACATTTTACAAACTACACTAACTTTATTTTATATATGTGTTAGATACTTTAGCCTATAGATTTACTTCTATCAAAAATTAACCTGAAAATAGTTAAAATGTATTCAGAGAATTATACAAATTATTGGTGGCATCTTTTTACTGATTTCAGGTATCCTGGATACGAAGGAAGGACTATCACTTGCTGACCGTTGGGTTGGCCACGTACAGCAGCGATGACCGCTTTTTTGCTGCCCATGTCCACAGTCCACAGGTCGGTACTGGCGCGGTTATGGTAATTTCACAGACTTATGTGTACAAAGTGTCACACCTGCATTATTTTTTTTATACCCTACCCTCAGTCAACCAGTACATTAACTAAAAGTTAAGACCGAAAAATATCAAATAAAAATATCACACGAATAAGAAGTATTGGAAAAATTGTTTGCCAATATGTGATCAATTAAATACTTCGATAATAAATATTATATTTAGTGATAGAGAGAATAGTTTAAGATATTCTGTGACAGAATACAGCGACGTCTGGTATTTTATGGGTCGTTACGCCGTGTAGTTTGGTGAAAGTTTACAGATGTTTCGGAGGTGTTTGCTGCTTCCATCATCAGGACGGCTTTGATGGAGGCAGCAAGCTGCTATGAACGGTCGATAAACTTATGTTAGACTGCAAGGCACAGCAGCTCAGAAGAGGGAAGTCTTCATATTCACTGCCGTGAGAACTTAAAATCTCACCAATTTTTTTTTCAAGTCTAACATTGTGTAGGTAATGTAAGAAACGGGGCGATAAATACGCGTCTAATGTTCATATTTTTTTGTTAAGATTAGTTTTTAAATGTATTCTGTGTTTTGTCTGTAATGGATCAGATGCCTTTATAGCTCAGGTGTCTCTGCCATGGGTTCTTGTATTTCTAATTGGCTTTTAATCAGATTCTGAGCCTTGTAAAGTGTTATTGCCCGTATGCAGGAGGGGTCAGGCAGTCAACATAATTCTACACCTGAAAACCAGGCTTTTAGCGACCGGAGTCATGTTTTAGAATTATACATGTGTGTAGAGGTTTGTTTCGTGGATTCATTGTGGTGAATGCAGATTGTGGTTAGTGAAATAGGATGAAGGCGGAACACAAACGGCATCAGAAACGAACTAAATCCGTAGAGAACTTCCCTAATTAAAGCAGGTTTATGGACGCTGAACTAATCCTCGCACGACTTCATGCCTGATTATTTTGTCCCCAGCTGCTATAATACCACGATTTTGGTGCATTCCAGGACTGGGCCCTCCACGTCCGACATGCCAGAGCTCGAGACGGTGGGCTCTACGAGTGCCAGGTCTCAACACATCCCCCCTCCAGCCTGTTCGTCGAGCTCCAATTGGTCGGTGAGTTATTCGATGTTGCTTGCTGAAATCGAAAAACTGTACATGCGACCACCCGTACGCAAGAATATGTATTGAGAAAGTTAGGGGGAAATGTTTTCTGAATATTTGAACCTCAGAGAAGTTAATGATGTAAAGTAAAGCTGTCCCACTATACCCCATGTAGGCGCTTGGGAAGAGAGGAGTTATAGTTCCTACTCATTCTTAACCTACGCACTAGATGGGGGTGAGTGGTCAGCGTCACCCACGGCCGCGTTTTACGTCCGGAAAAAGACCCCGGTACCCACTGGATAGGAGGCTGGGTTGACCCCAGAGCCGGTCTGGACACAGAGGCTACAAGAAAAATCCTCTATATCCGTCAGGGATCGAACCCCGGTTGTCCAGTCCGATACTAGAATGATATATGTAATATATGTGCTGTGATATATTATTATTAATAATAATAATATGGTACATTTTTATATTTAGTCTCATTTGTTTGTTTTTGTATTTGTAATGTTTTACTTTTATTATTATTGAAATGAATTTAATTATTTATTATATTTTATCGTGTTCTCTGATTTAGTGCTTGGCTGTTATTGGCCTTATTTGGCTGTTGTCAAGCACTTAAATAAATGAATTGAATTATTATAGTTTTTACTTATAAGAAGAATGAGTTTGACCAGAACATGTTTACGCTTAGTGAAGTTGAGAAATACGCCAAAAATATTAATCGAGATATCAGTGAGACAGAAATTAAAACGCTTTTTACGGGAAAGAAGTGTGACGATGGTGGCTGATTTCAATTTGCTGAGCATTAGGTTTAGTAGCAGTAGTCTGTAAATACGATAATGAGTCTTATGCTATCACATAAAAAGATTTATTTGACAAGCTTAGCAATTATTCTCATGTCGATATACCTTTGTACCAGTTCTATTTAAATTCCAATTTAGGGTGGGCTACTAGATGTATGTTAGGTCTTTCCTTGAAATCACTACTTCGTACCGGACACAGCGTGAAGCGGGTTGCAGCTAATCTCAGTCTTTCCACCTTGAGCTGCGTGCATGAGCCAGAAAACCTGAAGTTTAATAACTTTGGGTGGGTGGTGTGTCTGGGCACTTCAAGGGTGAGTTTTGCCTCCTTCCACCGGCTCCAGTAGACAAGCAGCTTGCCTCAACAGATGAGTAATGGTGGCGCGAGAATTGTTCAAACCCGGTGCACACAAACATGATAAATGGTCATTGAAGATTTCGTTTCTGATCTTAAATAGCATTTCTATTTTGCTTCGCTGCCCATTTCGTTTGTTGGAACAATAGTCTTGCTTTATAAATTATGTTATATAATATTTTATATTTAATGATGGTCAGAAATTTAAAAATATTTTTATCACACGGCAACGTCGTATTTAGAGGAAAGGATAATATTCTACGTGACTTTTTAGTTACATTTAGAGCTCATTATTGTTATAATTGTCATATCTGATCTGTAGTTAACGAGTTAATTTAATTAAGTTAGTTTAATTACGTTTACGAGTTAAGTTAATTTTAGTATGTATCGCAAATATGTCGCTTTCTCTTAGGATTACGCTGTTTTAGGAATGCAAGAATTTAAAGACTGACGAACAAGAATTGTCGTTGTTTCCTGGCACGAAGAGGAGATTTATTGGCGGTATTGCATGTCGCCGTGCATAGAGAATGGGAACAGGCAGACCTGCTAAATTAACACGACGTTGAAACACTTTAAATACGAAAAAGGCAATGCGTCTGTGTCTCGGAACACCATCTAAGAAAATGAGTTAAACATATAGAAAAACGTTTAATAAATAGCTCATTAAACATCGTGACGAGGCAACGACCAGGGTTTAAGACATGTTTTCTTATGAATTTTTCTTGATTATTTCAGAAATAAAAAAAAATTAGTATTCAGTTATCGACAACAATAAGTTGTCCTTACCTTCAACAAAAAACAATGAATTTCAGCTAAAATGACGGATTAGTTAATGCTGTTCAGGGAATTAATCGCTGTTTAATTTTAGAATCATACGAAACACAAAAAAGTCTCCTTCAAGTTCAGAGATATTAAATATTAAAGCTTGTGGTTCATATAAGTGCCATTTTGTTTAAATAATTAAGTAAACCCTTTAGAATGAAATCTGAGGTTTTGAACAGACGATCAGCGTTGAAACACTTCTTATATTACCATAGGTTCATGTAATAAAACTTGGAAAGTGTCCAATAGCATTCAATTCTACTGTCAATATCAACATCGCGTTTAGGAAACTTATATATAGACTTCTTATTGATTTCATGTCGATTGCTATTCGGGGAAACCAGAACATACCGAAAAGCGATAGCTACTTCTTGTAATCTTGTCAATTTTGATGAAGTGTGGGTCCCTTCGCTGAGTAGACATCTTGTCTGATTTTACAGCTCCAAAGGAAAGACTGCCTTTAACACTCCAACCCAGCAGTGGTAATGACTGTGAGCTACCAGATTTATTGCTTTATCCGATGACATGGTTTGAGACAGGTACAATCATAACCCAGCAAAACCTTACGCATCCGACTCCAAGCCTGCGTAGGTTAAAAATTATAGCATCAGAATATATGCGCTCATAACACAAACACCAGCCATCATCACATGGACGACTCAGAAGATGTTTAATTGTGCCTGGCGATGTGTGTGGGTCATTATCTTCACGGGAGGTTCAGACATGCGCGGGTGTTGGGCTTATTTTCTGTGGCTGCTGATTACGCACGTGATACGGTGAGGTCGGGGGGGGGGGATCGGACAGGGGATGAGAGAACAACGCGTGTGTGAAATCCAATGGCAGAAATTCGCGTATGTTCTGTTTCTAAACGGAATACCTAATGAGGACATGTGCTGGCAGTCAAAAACCTCCTCTGTTGCAAACTCTCGATAATTTAACACTTCAGTTGAATCTGATTTCGTAAAAACGAAAATCTAAAATAAAATTAATTAGTTTACTAACTCCGTGAAGCATAGCTATCGTGTTAGAAGCTAATAGTCGCTCAGATGGCTCTGTATATTTCATGCGTCCATTGATATAGTTAAACGCCAATGTATTTTCTCGGTTCCTGGTAGAAACTGCTGTAATGTCGGCAAGTTTATTTTATTGTTTCAATGGAATGATACTTGAGTTTCGTGGTGAGTCATGACAATTGATGTTCTAGATGTATGAGCTCCTAGTGCTGGCATGATATTCAAGGTCTCGAGTGTTATTTGTAAGAGCCATATTAATAAAATTATGGCCACAACCACACAGGACATTCTTTAAAAATACGATAATCTTATACAGATCTGTATTAAAGACTAATTAATCTCTAAATTGTTGCCTGTAATTCTCTGAAGCAAGAAAAATCCATCATGCCCTTTTTACACAGAGCAGCTCCTTTAGTTAGACTGCCGTGCTTTACACACGGAAAGATTCCACACACACACATCCAATATATGTATTTAACGTAAGAAAATTTTGTGGCTGTTTTACATTAAAGTAAGAGGCTAAGACGATATGAAAGAAATTCTGACGCGAATAATTTAAATTTTTTTTATAATGTATCTGTTATTCTTCATCGATCCTTTCAGATGCTGCACCAGAGATAACTGCATTGAACAAATTCCTTTATGAAAAGCTGTTAGTCGCTCAGCTATTTAAACTTTCTGTTTTATTAAAATAACTTTTTATAGGTTTTTCCACAAGAGCATGACACCTGTCTAACACTAAACTGTCATTTTGTTTCTTAAGATCCATTTTAATATTGTGTTTTCATCGACGCCTAGATCTTCCGAGTAATCTCTTTCCTATAAGAGTTTTGAACAAAATTTTGTTTATGTTTAAATGCAGTAGTTGTTTTCATCTGGATTTATTTAGTGTTTTAAAATACTATTATAAGAAACTTCTCGAGCTATCTCTCAACACTTGCAGAGAACTACTTTGTGTTTATGGTTTAAAAAAACTAGACGCTACCCTGCAATGTAGAAATAGAATAAAGTTTGGTGTTTGTGTTCGCCGTCAAATATAAACATAAATATATTATTTCGTGTTTTAAAATCTTTATTTATTTATTTTTCTTACGTTTATTTATTTATTTATTTTACTTTTCATACATCTGCAAACGTTTTACAGCTTAGTAGTTACTGGAAAACACCACGTTGTAAACTTGTAAATAAAAAGAAACACACACAAAGAACTTATGACATCAAAAGAAACTCAGACAAGACTAATTCATTTTCTGCTAAGGTCTGCTTATGAAAGAGATTGCTTTTCCGAAGGCCATTAGATGGCAGGGGAAACTGAGTTTATTCAACGACGCTTTTGTCAGCTACTTCAGATATAATGTCAAACCTGGGAATGATTTAATTGGGGACGATGCAGAAGGAAGCCGCTCCGGCTTTCTTTGCCTTCGTTTCCTACACTGTGTTTTGTTACAGAGGCAAGAGCGGAGATTCCAGGCGCACCGGACAAATTTGTGAAGTCCGGAAGCTCGCTACGACTCACTTGCCTCTTCAAGAAAAGCACCGAGCAGCCTGTTTACGTGTTCTGGTACCACGAGACACGGATGATTAACTATGACCTGGGTCGTGGTATTCAAGTCCGGCACGGACGCTATTTCAGTGAACTGGTCTTGGAGCAGGCGCAAAAGCACGATTCTGGCAACTACTCGTGCGTGCCGTCAAACGCTCATCCGGCCAGCATCAGTGTTCATATACTAAACGGTACGGTACCAAATCCATATCAGTGAAATTTGCCATTTCAGACCAAGAGCTAAGAAATCCAAAACACATCTTCTGCCATCGATGTTCTCACCGATAGACTTGGTCCTTTAGTATAGAAAGTAATTAAATATAAACCAGTGACAGTTTCCTGACGAGTAAAAGTTTATGTTACCTAATATGTACCACATCTTATTTGCTGCACTCTTTACGTTATGAATTGTAAAATGTTTCGGAGATGCTGCCACATTGACATGACGGCGAAAGGGGGATGTTGTGTGTTGCGGATGGCCGAGAAATAAACATTTTAGTAACTCGCATAAATAAAAAAAATTATAGTCTCGAATATTACATAGGCCGATTATGAGTCTTTTTCTCTCAAAAGTTCATAAAGTTAGTGTAAATGGAACACTTCCCAGTGTTGTGGACCTAAATAAAGAAAATGAATTTCATAATGAGTTAGGGCTTATTTTAAAACCCTGCAACGACTCACACCCTGATTAGGATCTATATTATTTAATAAAATGGCTAATAAAATCAGGAACTACTTTGGAGATACATTTGTAAACGGTGTGATAATATTAAAATGAATCACAAATAAATATATATTGAAGTGAAACTTAGTTTCTTGCCTAAAGAGGAAACCGAATGGTCTCAGGATGTTTGAGAACAGTGTACTAAGGCGAATGTTTGTACGTAATGAGCTGTATAATTTGTGCAATTACCGTGGTCACCAACTATTATTAGAGTGATTAAGCAAAAGACAATGAGATGGGTGTGTAACTTACATAGTCTGGAAACGCGTAAGGCACAGTAAAGTCGAAGGGATAGGGCAATCGGAGAACATCGCTATTACTATAGATCTTTGAATAAATGTAAGGTCTGAAATTCTGGACTGGATTTATACTCCCAGAGGTATTATAATGGCGGACTGTTATGAATATGGTAATAGAACTTCTTGTTCCAGAAATGGCAGGGAATTTCTTAAATAGCTAAGCGACTATTAGCATATCAAGACGATCTCTGTTTCATGCAGTTAAGCTTGAACTCAGATGGTTTATATTAAGCGCCAGTGGCGGACGTTCGTGAAAAGGGCGTTTGATGAGATTTCAGGCTCTCACGGTGATGAGTATGAATATGATGTATTCTGGTAAAAGTGTCGACGTTTCAGAGGTGCTTTCTGCCTCCATCATCATGTCGATTAAATCTCTGAAACCTTGATAAAATTTTACTAGACTACACAGGGCAAACGTCAAGAACTGGCCAAATTCAAGGAGTTTAATCTTCGTGTTCTGTGAGAGCAGGAATTATTGTCTAAGAGAATAAATATTAAATACGCACACGAACGACGTTTTCCAGCACGTACAAGTTCAAAATAAGGATCTAATATGCAGATTATATGAAATGATCATAATAAGTTCTATTTAACAAATCGTAATGACAGTATTACAATTTATTCTTATTTATTGTATTATTAATATGGTTCTCTGACAGATATAAAACTTTAATTCGTTCTATAATACGATTATAAATAATGGAAATACTGATAAATGCTACGTAAAAATGTACGCGTATGTTAAATACAAGCGAGGCTTTTCTTTACAATATCTGTTTGTTCAATGAAATGGAGTGTCAGAGCATTTTTCATAACACGCAATTGACTCAGATGGGGATAAATTTATTGAGGTTTTGTTACGTATGGAAATTTCCACTGTCACAAAGGTATAAAAATATTTGTTCTTACTAACTAAATACACGATAACAAATAGAAAAAGTATGTTTTGTAGTGTATCAGAGCATTTATATGTAATAGTTTCGAAGTTTAGTTAGTTGAAATTTGAACAATATACACAGAATATATAAAACGACTGTATACAATAAATATGAACTAGTTGCAAGTCTATAACAAGCAGAGATTGGCTACGTAGTTATTTTGTGTCTGGGTTGGTATCACGGGTATTTTAACAGTTGCCTGCTCTTAACCTAACGTTAAATGGAGAATGTTTTGTGTCTAAAGGACATAACGTTTCTAATTGAACATGTTTTTTCTACTGCGTATAAATTTTCTGAACGTTCCGTAGTAAATTTATTAAAATTTGTTACTAACTGGATAACTACATGCAGTAATTTTCTTCTGGTCTGTCCTCTAGTCAAAAAAATGGTTGTACAAAATGAAACAGCGTATAAAAGTATTTCTGACATTATTTGTTTTGAACGCTTAGAGATTACTCATATATGTGCAGGATTAAGAGAAAGCTACACATTTAATCTCCGCAGGTGAAATTTTATTGGAACATTTTAGAGATTTAAATGATAAAATAATAGCAGAAAAATAATGATTTTTCAGGCCCTCCGCTTATCTGTAGGGCAATTGTTTTTAAGGGCTGACAGACGTATGGATTTCTGATCTTACAGATGACGTTGATGATTCAAATCATACGTAAAACTAAGTTATTTGTTGTGTAAAATCATTTCTGTAAACATGATAAGTTTAATCATGATATACAGAAAACATGGAGTAAACAGACTTATGAAGTCTCACATTAAGTTATCTTAGATTTTATTTGTGTAGTTTACCAGAAAAACATTTTCTTTTTGCAGTTGAGTGAAACTCGTACGAGAAATTTAAAGGTGGGTGTTAAGAATTCTAGCTTTATCGCCGTAGGATTTAAAAACACTTACAATTAGAATTTTTCCTGGAATCTACTTAAACAAAGGTAAAAAAAAATTAACATTCTGTTCTCTGCCAATGTCACACAATTATTCTCTGTTAGAGGCCACGTATAAATTTGAATGTAATGTTTCGTTCACACAAGCCGTATAAAATAAAGCCGCCATACACATCTGTTCGTCCTTAAGTTTTGTATCCGAAGGTCATTGACGGATTTACACAAAATGTGGAATTAGAAGTCCCTGTAAATCTTAACAGAATAGGCGTACATTTAGTTTGACCAAACCAAAAAAGATGACCGGTCGTCCTTAAGGGAGGAGACATGAATTAGGCTTGTAAGAAATTCGTTTCGTCTCGTATCTCCTACTGTTATCTGTTGCTTGCAGGGGAAAAGCCAGCTGCGATGCATGGAAGCAAGAGCCAGTCGGTGCGAGCCAACTTGCCTTGGAGCTACAGCTTCATGGCAGCGCTTTGCGTCTCTCTGCTGTCAAGCCAGTCATGCTTCTGGTGCCGCGACGACAGATGACACTAGTTGCAGGTCACCTCAATACACTTTATTTCTAAAAGGGCATATATGAAAATACCTCGATGCGATGCATATCACGGTTAACGGTGGCATGGGAGAATGTCAGAGAAAATTACGTTGATCATATGCAGATTGTGGCGATAATTAGCTGACATATTATTATATTAAAGTATAAGTGTCAGAAGAAAGAGATGTGTTGTTTTTTTAGGTGTGTTTTAAGCGAAAACTCTAAATGAAAATTCGGATATATTTAATAACTGTTTTGTGGAAAGGTGGAAATAAAAGAATAACACTTTGAATTTGATGGTTCTTTCAGGCGAAGGGAAATACAGGTTATTGGTGAGGAGATAAAATTAAGTAGGACATTTTTGCAAGTTGCAAGTTAAACTAGAATAATGGCAAAGTTCTTACGTACGAGAGCATTATAGGATATTTTTGCAAGAGTGTTACAACTGGACTGTGTTTAAACACGTTAATGATTTGTTTCCAGCCATCACAGAATATAAGTATATACTTTACATGCATAATTTCCGACTGAAATTAAAAAAAAAAACTTAATATTACAGTGACACAGCATTGCTTCGCCTGAATCCATTTCAATTCGATATAATTATATTTTGTTAAAAGCTTTGTTTTTTGTGAAAAATAGACGTAATACACATGCAAGAACATAAAAGATTTCAGAAGCTCTTGAATTTACCACTCTTCAGTGTCAAAGGACAGAACGAAAATTCCTTTTGCTGATAGAATTTTTCACGCAATATTACGTCGAATATTACTATAGAATTTTGTGGAATGAGACTAATAATTATATTAAATTAAACTAAGAACGTCAAGTAGTCATTTGAAGATGGCTGTCTTCTGGGTTGTAGCACCGTGTAGTTTGGTAGAATTTTGCTAGCGTTTCAGAGGCAGCCGGGTGATAGTAGCCCTAATTATGGAGGCAGTAAGTGTCTGAAACGTCTCAAACGTCTGCCAAACTATACGGCGCAACAACCCAGAAGACAGAAAACTTCATATTCACCGCCGTGAAAACCTGAAATCCTACTTAGTTGCGAAAAACTGTCTTGTCTCTGCTTTACGAACGAAAATGTGGTACCTGTTCTATATAACGTTAAGACACGTGAAAGGATTCCAAAATGAAGTTGTTGTAAATTGCTAAATAAGTGATACATAAGAAAGAAAATCAGAATAAAGTTGTAAAATTTAGGAGACCTGAAACACGTGAGAGAGAGGCATAATAAAATAGAAAGTTATTAAAGATATGGACACAGAAAACAGACTAAAAATATAATTCTAACCAAAACATTTTGTGGCTTGTGTGATTTTATCATCTTAATATGTCACGATAATACTATAAACAGGACGACAAAACTGCTACAACTTTTGGTACGGTATCTAGACTGCATGCCGTTCCATCAATGATGCAAAATATTTATATTTCAATAAATTGGTCTAAAAACAGCGCTTGCATGACGTTTTGTGATCCAAATTGAGGTTAATCCAATACTCGTATGAAATTTAACTTACCCCACGAGTGTAATACATATTTTATGTCGTTACGTATTTTGTTCAAGAGACCAATTTATTACGAGCATGTTTCAACTCCTAGAATAATAAAAGTAATAATTATTCAATATGAAAGTCACAGAAATAAAAAAAACATTGCATGGCTGTGCTGTGGTATATGGGACTGTTATTGGTGCAGATATCTGCGTATGTAATGGAATGAACTAATCTGTATACGATGAGTTTTAATCGGAAGAAAGTTTGAGTTGTTGGTTTTAAGATACTTGTCAATCCTCGGACATCCTCTTGGGATAAAGAAATTATAAACTGGTGAATATAAGATGCTAGAAATTTATATTAATCTCCGCTCATCTGCAAGAAACGTCTAATGGTATATTGTGTTCCATTGAATTCGAAACGATAAATCTAATATGATGAAACCCATAACTTATTTTGTTTATTTCGTAAGACTAAACGTTCCTTCAAGGGGGTCGATTCTGAGTTGTATTAAAAGTCATTTCAAGTGTAAGATGGGATATATTTTTGATTCAAATACAAGTTTTAGCCTGTGTTAAAATATATATTCTTATTTAGTGCAATTAAATTAAAGAAAAATTCTAAAGTTTACAATAAATTCACATAGATAAGAAAGTGTAAAAATTATTTTGGGGATCTTGCTTATCAGACAATAAAAACAATATTTCGTAAAAAATTACTTGTTCCGAAACACAAAAGAACGCTTGTAAGACTGCTGTTGTGTATGAGATTTAAAACTATGTACCTATCATCCTGAATTTTGTTGAAATTTCATTAAATTTCAACAAGGTTTCATGTGGCTTTGACATTACAGTAATGTTCCAAGTTTCTTATGATCATTTGTTCCTTTACGATAATTATATGCACTTTAATGCAAGGCATAAGGTGACCAGTGGACAGCAAAATTAGCGGGGCACAGTTTGCTTTCAGGAAGACACTTAATTAATCAAAACTTTGCAGGAGCTGCTTTTAGACAGGAACCATAACTTTTAAGAGAAAATATAAGCGCTGTATATACGCGTCTAAGATAAGTGCTGGATAACAGAATTAAAAGTCGAACTCGTGGTTTGTTCTGACATTTCGTGGGTCCTAAAGAACAATAAAAGAGTTTTGTTGTTGAAGAAGAAAGAAGATGGCTGAGGAATTCCTTCATTGTATCAGATTTATCCAATCAGTGTCTGATTTTCAGCATCTGTTGGGAAATACGTCAAAAACGAAATCAAATTAGAAACTAGCCCTCATTGGAGAAATAGTTACGCCACTTCCCGACTGTAATGAGACTGTTTAAAAGAGAATTTCACATTAAACTTTTGTAATAGATGTTTTCATGGTTCATAGACTTTAATGTCAATATCCGTTGAAGTGTTGCAATTTTTGTTTTGTTTTAGCGTCTTTTTTTTTGTAGTGGTTTGTCACTTGTTTGTACTTCCTGTTCGCATGAAACAAAAGAGAATCACTGTTGTAAATTCAGACAACAATTCCAATTCCCGTAAAGTGCCAAAACCCGTGTGTAAGGGATACGTCCACACCGAACCCACTCTGTATTAACCTCTCAGTGCATGAGTTATTACGAAAGGAAGCATTATTGGTCCATGTCCCGTATAATTTCAATGCTTCTTTTTCGTGAAAACATTTCCACGTCATACTGGATATCACTATGTTAAAATTGTTTGTTTTATCTGTGTTTTACCAATGCATGGCACTACAAACGACTGATCGTTTGCGATGAAATGCAAATATTATATTTTGGTATGAAATTTCGATCATCTGTACAGTGTAACAGCAAACAACTTAATTTTTAATATATATTAATTAAATATAAGTTTTAAATTAGTTACTTGACCTATGATTCGTAAACAAATTGTTGATTCTTTATTTGTATTGTATTGTTTGTGTACTATTTTTCATTATTATTTCACTATTATTGTATGTATTATCAGTGTTTGCCTGTTATTGGCTTCTTGCTGTTGGCAAACACGTAAATAAAATAATTGAATTGAATTGAATTGAATAAGAAAGTTAATATTTTGTATTTGTTGAATGTATTTGTTTCCATTGACAAATTTCACTCTCCACACTATACATGAAACAGGATGTTTGTATGCATAGTATGTAAGTTAATTTGATTTTTATGTATTTCAGTACCAGTTTGAGACGATTATTCATTAAATTTGTAATAAATGAAGTAATATGACGAAAATGAAGCATGTTATTTGAGCCATCATTCTGATGTGGCTGAGATGGAACTATTTTAATTTAAACACAATATTACCTTGTTTACATCCCAGTTTCCACTAATATCTCACCATTTATATCATAGAATTTTAGTATTATACTAGGCTTAAATCATGTATAGACGTGGTCTTACATTATTATTTTTTTCAAGACGTCAGTTTTAGATTACGTTTCAATCGCTTGTTTATTGATTCAAAGTTTTAGTACACCATAATATTATAAATTAAATGCCCAGAAATTATATAAATATGACGTGCACTGACTTTGTAGGTACTGGTATATTTATGTCTGTTTGAAACTACCTGATTTATCATATTGCTGATCGATGTTAATTTTGATCCAGCATTATTATTGTGACGACGAGAACGCCAAATTTTTTTAATAGTGAAAAATCTGTGACGCTCTTAGATGTGTTTTGGTATTGATTCATACGCTATAAGCAAATATTCCGAAGTGTCTCAGTGTTATAATTTTTTGTTTACACATGCCACTTCCTTACTGGATTTGAGCTCTTTGCCTCGTATCAAATTACAAGAAATCAAAATTAATCCGCTCTGATATACTCTTAGCTTGTCTACTCCCTCTGCTATGAACGCACTCGTAAACACGTCTTACAGCACTGTCGTATTGCAATGCGAGTGAACGTTCTCGGCTAGCAACAGACTTTGATGACTAAGGCGGGGAAGAGAGGGGTGACGAAGTAGCCTCGCGTGGATTTACAGTGGACGCCATGAAAGGCAAGTTCCTAAAAGACGAACGAATTTAACATATCCGGAAGCAGTGTTTCGATTTTAATTGGTTATCTGTCGTTCTACGTGAAGTGTTGAGTGTGTCAGTGTAAACAAATATCCTTAAAACTATCAGTTACACAGCCAAGATTCGCCGAGCAGGGTCTGAAATAAAAGTTTCGCCATTTCTGTTCGGTGATAGGTTAGTTAGTACAACTGACCTTGATAGAGAGCATGAGTGAGCGAAGGTGAAGTGATTTGTGTCCAGATAATGTGAAGTTTTATTAATTCCGTTTGTTTATTTGTGTGGTAGATTTAAGCAGTAAATACTGCAATGTGTGCTTGAAGCAGACTGGGTAGGAAGTGCATTGCATCAATATTTCTTCATGCAGCAAAGAAGTTGAGCAACAGATGGTGAGTACAGTACACCCCCGCCCAAGTGTTTGTTTGCATGTGTGTTTACTCGTAACGTTTTTAATAAAACGCTAGTTTATACAAAACAATGATATGACAATTTTTTGGGTGAAAAACGTAACTTATTACTTTGAAGTATGGACATAAATCGAAAGCATTTAAAAATAAAGCCCTCAAGATAAAACGAAAACATTCGAACTAACCTCAAAAATATAAAGTTAATCACTAATTAATTGCATTACGTTACGAGGAATTTCGTGTCGTGGTATTAGAATATTTAAATTTCAGAGAGTAAAATGAGCCAGGTCTTTGTCAAGTATGATGGACACAAAGCACACATAACGTACTTTGACGGATCACTTGTACAACCGAGGATTCGAAAGGATAAAATGGTTCTTAGGGAGATAAATTGGGATTAACTGCGGTAGATTAAACTATCACAGAGAAGTCTAGTGACGTGCTTCGGTATTAGTGGTGTTGTAGTAACACAACTCTATACGTATAATTGAATCTGAATAAAATGTGGCGACTAGATCAGTCCCAAACCTGAAGAGTTTTTGCAGAAGTTGGTAGCAGTTCAGTTAGTGACAATGTTCCCCCACTTTTATATAATCCGAAGGTGTGTTACTATGCCCACAGGGACCGCCACAGAACACTGTGCTGCCGAGCTAAACACCGTTCAGAGATCCGCTTTAATACCTTTGTCCACGCACATGCTTCTCAAACGCTATCTTGAATTTAGTTTTTTTCCCCCCGAAAGAAACGTTTAATGCGTACGTCTCTGCGATGTGTGATATATTATCCGACATCTAAGACTTCGTAATTTGATATTTGGTGAAGAGTAGACCTACGAAATAAAGTTCATCATTATGCTATTTTATTCAGTATTTCGTTATTTCTTCCCTGTTAGCAACAAATATATATCCTTAAACATATAAATCTGAGTTTTTCCGTAATGCAAAGGACAGCGTTTCACAACCCAGTACAAAGCCCGAAGTAAAATAATAATTTTATGCGTTTAGGTATGAGACAGTAATGAATGGTAAAAGTCTTTATAATTTATAAATAGATAAGTTGAATTTAATACGGTCAGTTCATAAGCAATTTTTTTAAGTTTAATACATCTTTTCACAAAGTAATATAATTATTGGAATTGAATAATAAAGAAATATTTATTTAATTCATTACTTGAAGTTATATTAAAGCATGGTTTGATATTATCGATGTATTGTAGACGGATGTAACAGACTGATTGCCTTTTTTTCTTCGAAGCATTATTAATATTTCGCTTCTAAACTACAGGTGAAATACTTACTTGAAGCGAAACGAAACACTTCTACGTTAAATCACATTTATGAACGACTGTACTTTCTTCATAAATAATTCTTTATATTTTTGAATCCTTTTAACTTCGCATATAAATCCTTTCATCTCTCTACTTACACATCTGTTCAAAATTTTATTTCCATATCTATTTTAATTTATTTCCTGTACTCCTCTCATGTCTGTAATATATAGGGCAAAAAATTGTTCTTCAGAAAACAGAAACGTTTAATTTTATGTTTGAGTGATCAGCATCACGCCCCGGCTTCGCTTTACCCCAGGAAAGGGCCCCGGTACCAAAATGGATAGGAGGCTGGGTGGCTAGAGGAAAAATCCTGTGCCCCTGTCGGGGATCGAACTCCGGTCGTCCAGTCATTATGCTGACTGAGCTACTCGGCTCATAATACATTTTCTTTTAAGAAATATTCACATGAATATTGAATTAACTTTTTTAAAGTCAGACAAAACATACAACATTAAACTCACATTATAAATGGGTCAAAAGATAAGATTGTAAAACTTCCTATAGTAATGGATTGTATCATGAAAAAGTAACTCGTCTGTGGTAACTGAATGATGCACTTTAGTGTTTTTATATTACCAATGCAGTTATTGCAGTTCCTTTGACGAGTAAGGTAGCCTCAGCTTGAAAGTAAAAGTTCAGCTGCAGTTGTTTAGAATTTAAGATTTATTTTGATGTACGTCTGCGTATCTCGGTGTTGGACATGCATGTGCCTTATTACGTAATTTTACTAGCTACAATAATTTCACTTTTACAATTTTAATCTTTTAACTAATATGTGTGTTGTCTTTAATGTTTGGTTTTTAGATTTAAGGAAAATAACGAGTTGTTTAATTTATTTTCTTCAGTGTGGAACGCATAAAACTTTTAGGAAGGGATTTCAGAAAACTTCTCTCTAATAAACGCACAAGCAGTGCTATAATGCTAAGATAAATAGCCAAAGTTTACTTTTGAAACATTGAAGTCTAGTTAGTGAACTGCTGTAAGCTACACTGTAATCTGCATGTAACAAGTAACTTCCTGTATTACTAGGCGGCTATTCGGCTGTAGTAAACTTTCTCTGGTTTACAACGCAAAGACCTGCATGAGATATAGGTTATCTCCAGACACTCCAATTGCTTTGCTCTTAAACTGGACCTCATCCAGCCAATCCAAAACGTAGTAGATCACTCCTAAAGCGTAGAGAGCCATAAGGCGTCTAATTTTGTACGTGTTCGTCTTTATCTTCAAGGCGCAACAAGAAATTCGAAAACTACCAAACGACACTTAAATGTAACAGCTTCAGCGCAGTCTGGTGTCAGATTATTTACTAAGGAAACTACAATTCTTAAAACAAGATTATTTTCTTTCATAATCGAGTACGGGGTTGTGTAATGCAGTTTCTTTGTGGGCATGTAGCACGCATGGGGGAGATAAAAATATTCCAGAACTTTCGTTGTATAGGCTGAAGGGAAGAGACCTAAGAGCATATGGGAGGATAATATTAAAATTGATAGTAGGGAAATAGGATGTGAGAGTGTGGAGTGAATTCGTCTGGTTCAGGATAGGGGTTGGTGACTGCCTGTTGTGAATTCCGTAATAAATGTTTGGGTTCAATAAGCGGAGAGAGTTTCTAAGTAATCGAACTTCAGCTCCCGAAGAGGAATTGACAGTAAGAGACTATGAAACGTCAGTGTATATGAAATAGAGTGCAACATCTCAGAAAACGCATATTAAATTAGTCGTAAGAATCTAAATCTCACAGGAAATAACTCAATAAACAGCACAGGGACATGAAGTGTTCTCTTACATGTATTAAAACTGAAGGTCGTCTAAATAATATTTAAGAAATCGGTCCGTACCGCAAAGAAAACACCACATTTCAACGTTACAAAGATTAATTGGTTGAAGCTATTTAAGGAAATAGTCACTGTTTAGTCTCGGAGTCATACGAAACCCGTAAACACAAACTGTTGTAAAAATGTTGAGTTATTGACGTATTGAAGTTCGATCAGCTGATGAAAAGAGTTACCACAAGGCTTTAAAGAGTTAATTATGGGAATATAATAAAATGAAAAATGTTTCGAATTTATTTTTTATTTTTTAATTTAATACGCATAGGCCGATTGTAAAA